TGTCTTTTGTGTCTATGACAATATCGTTGCAAGTGTGAGTGATCTTTTTCAAGCAGAATATAAAATGGATTTTCATCTTTAAATGTTACATCTTGTAGCATTCATATTCTGAGGTTGTGCTCACCTTCCTACAAAGACACTTTTAGGATTATCTGTGACAAAAATTATTCATGCTGGTAGGAACACCAAAGCTTTTTGCAGCTATGTTTGTACTTAGGACTTTTTTGCAGCAGCCTGAGGTGCTTATTTCACTCTGAGACCAGAAAACTGCAATTTTCTAGAAAATTTGCAACTTATTTACCCTCCAAAGACCTTAGTGGAATAAAGAGAAGCAGCAGAGTAACTGCTGAGAGACTGTTGAGGAAGGTGCTTCCATTTCAACTGTCATGACACCTCCCAGAATTGACCTCAACTCTGAAAATGGGCAGAAAGCATCCAGGTATTACCAGCCCATCCTGAAGAGGGTAGCCTGACACCATGGATGGAAACCTACCACTGAAGGAATTCCAAATCCAGCATGAAAGCAAACCTAAAGCAAAAAACAAATATTAGTTTTGATTCAGCTCCTATAGTCTACCACCTACAGTCAGCAGGGGGACCTGCTTTTCCACAGCTATGGATGAGGCATATACAGCTCAAGTATACTTTTGTAAGTAAATTCTTTCCCATTTGTTTTTGCAGCACCTTATTTTTGTGGTGGCTCAGTCTCAGATTCCTCTGGGGTGCTGCAGAGTCCCAACTATCCTGGAAATTATCCAAATGATGCTGACTGTGTGTGGGAAATACAAGTAGAGAACAATTTCCGTGTAACGCTCACATTTAGAGATATTGTGTAAGTAAAACATTGATTCCCTGGACAAATATCAAAGTCAAAACTTACCTGAGAAGTTTGAAATCTTATCTGAAACAACCAACCTTCCCAATTTTAAAGATACTTCCAATAGCATCCACAGTTGGAAGGCCAGATCAAAATCTGGATGGATGTTGCATTTTTTACGTACCATTTTCTGCTAAAGCTTCGTAAAAACCAAATTAAATTTGTGATGAGAAAACCTTAAATGCTGAAAGGCTTTATCACATCTTAGGCAATGAAATCAGAATTTCTGAAGTTTTCTTCTGAAATGGATTTGACAAGGTGCTGATGTTTTTCTACCAGGATGCAAAGCGGGATGTGCCAGCATGACTACATTGAAGTCTATGACGGACCTCTCCATTCTTCCCCTCTTCTTGGGAGATTCTGTTCTGGTTCCTTTCCCACATATGTGTCCTCTTCAAACATGATGACTGTTCGCTTCCACAGTGATTCCAGAAACTCCTTCAGAGGTTTTCAGGCTCACTACTCCTCCATCCCAGCAGGTCACAACACCAGTAAGTTCCTGGCCAGTTTTTCTCAACAGACAAGCCTATTTATTGCTTTTGTTTGAAGAATAAACATATGTGTAAATTTAAATATTGTTGTGGAAACTGAATGACGTGCATGAAATACAGGGGCTTGCGGTGGGAACTGCCTGACTTCTAAATTCAGAAATAAACAGCCTCTAATCATTACTAAATTCCTCTTCTACCAGCCATTCAGTGCTTGCCAGACTACATGCACGTAGTGGTCAGCAGAGACTTCCTCCAGTCTCAGGGCTACTCAGCACAGAGGGTCACCCTGAACGACAATCGCTGCAGACCGACAGTCACCTCACGGGAGGTTGTGTTCAACATTCCCTACAACAGCTGTGGGACAACTCAAGAGGTACACTCCCTGTTTTGGGCACTCAGTTGCATATTTAAGCTTGGCTAGACTTAGAACTTAGATGGAACGTGACAAAAGCGCAATTCCTGATTTTAAATTGCATCATTAAACAGGAGAACAACGACACAATCAACTACTCCAACACCATTAGGGTCACATCTTCCGGGTACATAATCAAGAGGAAAAAGAACATCAATTTGCACGTCAGCTGCAAAATGCTGAGGAAGAGCTGGCAGCAGGTGATGTACGCTGCTGAGGACACCGTGGATGTGAACGAGTACCAGTTTGGAAGATACGACATGAACATCACCTTCTACGATTCTCCAGCGTTCGTGCAGCAAGTGCGCAGCTCTCCCTACTACATCGACCTCAACCAAAACCTCTACCTCCAAGCCTGTCTTCACAGCTCGGACCCAAACCTGAAGGTGGCTGTGGACACGTGTGTGGCATCGCCTGACCCTCGTGATTTTAACACCCTGGCTTATTATTTAGTCAGAAATGGGTAAGAGCGTTCTTCAAAGCTAGAAGCACACCTGTCATCCACATTTGTTTTAAATAATACAGTGAATCTGGATGGGGTTAGAACTCGTTATCAACAGACTGTGAAAAGTGGTCTTTGATTTTGTATTTTTACAATATGAGCCTGGGAATAAGAAATTGTATTTAGACTTTACTATCAGTTCATTTCACTTGCTCTATCTTGTCCTGTGAACAAAATACAAAAAAATGGCAGTGGGAATTGTCATCCTAGGAGTTAAATATTTTAGTAAAACCAGGTCAAGCATTAGATTAATTTTTATGCCTTGTATAACACTGATGTTACTAACAACCTATTTGTTAGAGTCTGTTCCCTCTTCATCACTTAAAGTATCCTTCTCTTGGAAAAAGAAGAATTGCCAACACTCTAGCTGCTTCATAGTACTTTAAAAAGTCTGTATTTTTAAAGTGCATGCTATGCTATGAAAGTTTTATCCCACTGCTTTCCTAGTACCTGACTATGATATAAATCAGTTTAAATCTGAATTTCGCAGGAATTCATAATAATAAATCGAATAACCTGAATTTTAATTTTGCAGGAATATGCATGTGCGCATCCATGAAGACTAATTCCCTTTTTATTTGCTCCTTTCTAGGTGTCCTAGAGATTCTTCCTACTCCACGTTCTACTCCCCTTCCAGCCACTTTGCTCGGTTCAAGTTTAACGCCTTCGAGTTCATGAGCCGGCACCCGTCCGTGTACCTGAAGTGCCGGATGCTGGTCTGCAGGCTCGGGGACTTCTCCTCCCGCTGCTACCGGGGCTGCAGCTCCAGGGCCAAGAGAGACACCAGCCCTGCTGAGGAACAAGTGGATGTGGTGGTTGGACCCCTTCAGCTCCGAGGAGGGGATGCTCCCAGCGGGACCACCGGGAAAGACGAATAAATTTCTCTCACGTTTGCTCGAGGATGACCAACAGGCTCCAAGAAAAGCCCCAGCTCTGTCGCCTGTCACTGAAATCTGCTTTTGCCGACTTTGCCGTAAAAAGGAAGAGATCCATACCTTGCAAGCTTCTGCTTTCACACACAGTTTTAAAAAGTGTAACTTCCCACGCTGTCCCAAGAGAGAGTTCCCTGTAATCCTTTTTATAACTCCTTGAGTTGTGCTAATTAGCTTCAGTGTGACTGTGAATTTGATGGCACTTGGGGATATGGTTTATTGGTGGATTTATCTGTGCTAATTAAATGATAGGGCTCAATAACCTTAAAGGTCTTTTCTCTCCTAAAGGATCCCATTGATTCCATGGCAGCCAGCTGGGAGCAAACTCCCATCTTTCTTGAGAAATATTTCATTCCCTCAGTTGTTTTCTGCTTATGAAATTTACTTAGTTGAGTTGTCATCTCTGCTAATATGAAGCCTGTCCAAATAGTTGAGAGCAATGAATCTGTGAGTTTGCTTATTTCTGACTTTGATCTGGGAGCCATCCCTTTGACACTTTAATTCTGTGCCCTGACCTTCAATATGCTGAGATCAAACCCCAGGAACTTTCACTTATAGGGCTGAGCTCTTCTAGCAACCAGAATTGTGGCTATACAATATTCTAATCACTCTGAGTATTGCTTTTAGTGCTATATTTCTCTTTGAAACAATGATGGGTCTGTGCTTATTTATAAAATGCAGATATTTCTAAGTTAAATTAATCTGTTTTGTGAGCAGTGTAATTTATAATCAAAGGAAGGGAGGTTTACAAAGCAATAAATCTATTTTGTCTCTAAAATTAATGTTTCTCTGCTTAAAATACTAATGTTTTACTGAGTTGAAGAGTGCTGTCTGTTTGATTAAAAATTCCAAGTGATGGTCTGAGCCCCTGCTTATGAAACACTACAGAGGGAACTTCTAGATATCTTAATATAAAATTTATCTTAAAATAAAAATTTAAATATCTTCCCCCTGCTGCTGATAATTCCCTCACACCAGTGCTTGGTGCTGTCACCCTCCTGGCAGTTCTTGATGGTTTTCCTGCAAGGCTGGCACTGAAGGAGCTGCTTTCACATGGGAAAATGTCAGAGCAAAGGCCAGCATCACTCACTGGATGAATGCAGGGCAAACCTTACACATTATGAGCCACCAAAATGCTTCACTGATGGCAGCCTCACATGTGCCATTTGTGGGAAGCTGTGATATCTTTATCTTCAATAAATTCTGCTACAATGCCTTAGAACAGCTTTGTAATCCTAACACCTCTTAAAGGATTAAGAAATAATTTCAATTTTCATGCCACAGCTTGTTCAGCACAATTATTCTATCATTTTCCTCCTCTTTAATTCTCCACTCACAGCACTCGAAAACCATTTATCTAATGCCTCAAAATTCTGTGAGCTGGAGTGAAAATGTGAGAGAGTCACCAAGAAATACTTCAAGGTTTATTGAAAGGAATGAAGATTTAATTTGGTGAGAATGGATCATCTCTGGAAAGGAAATGTAAAAATTGATCTTCTAGCACCTGGATTTGTGGCTATACAATATTTTAATTATTTTGATCATTGATTAGCATTTTTTCCATTAAGTTTTAACTTCTCCAGATTGAATAAATCTAAATTCAAGGTATGCTGAGCTGTTAAAGATGTTTTGTTTGCAGCCTTTAACTCTGAAACACACAATCTATTCTAAAGGCTTGTTATATAAATTTTTAGCCTTTCCATTAACATACATCCTAAACCAGGCAAAACCACAAATATGATCCAAGAGATTGACTCTCAGCCAGGAGACTTTTCAGCTCTCACCCAAGTGTCAGTCAAGAGGTGAAAGACATTTCATATTTGCTTTCCAGAAAGAAGAGTTTTGTTCAATTTTTATTACTTTTGGTTGCTGATCACAAAACTATTTCATTTTTTTTCCCCCTCCATGGTTGGATGCTTTGTGGCTGTGAGGAGTTTGGCTTCTCAGGACTTACCCAGCCATTCAGAATGTCTTGTGCACATTTTTAAATCAGAGTGAAATATGCTGGAAATGCAAACAGCCAAATGCCACATAAACATTTATCACTGGGGCATGAAAACATGAAAAGCAAGACCTGGGATTTCTTGCCTTTCATGTCCTAGTTAAAAAATACAAAGAATTAAAGCCAAAATGTAAGCTAAAATTGTTTATTTGGCCTTTTGTTTTGGTTTTTTGTTTGGTTTGTAGGGGCTCAGTGTTATGCCAGTCTCCCAGTGAATGCTGGTTCCTGCAAACACAAGGTTGGCAAGAACCAGGAGCACGTGAAGGACACTTCCTTTGCTCTTTTTAAATGAGCTGTCTTTTTAAAAATATACATGTATTTTAAATCAAGTTGCTGAGGAAACTCATCAGTGAGCTGGCTGTGTCACTGGGGTGAGAGTTGTTCCAATTTCCTAGAATAACACTTGGAGCACCTCTTTAACCCTGAATCACCTGGTACTCATCCAACCAAATTTTCTCGGTTTTTTTCTGAAATAAGTGGATTAGTCACAGGGTGTAATGTAGACATTAATTGTACTGCTTCTGTTCTAAAGAGCCTGCCAAGTCCGAATGACTCTCACTTTTTTTTCCTGTATTTTTCTCATAATTTCAGAGAGTTGGATTCTCTGTTTCCTCCCAGTGACTGACTAATGATATTGAGGTGTTTTGGAAGCATTTGGCATTAGTTAGCACCTCTGATTGCTAAGCCTGGATTCAAGCAGGGCTTTGTTGCACGAGATAACGATGAAAATTGAGTTGTGTTCATGTGCCCCACACAAAATTGTGTCTTTTCCAACCTCAGCAATTCCATGACTCTGTTTGGCAAAGCCAGGCCTTCTATCCCAAATGCTGGATGCTGATATCCCTAGTTCAGGCTCGGAAATCCAAATTCTGTAGCTCCAGCTGCAGAAGAGTGGCCAGAACTTGCTGCTTCAGACTCCCTTCGAGAGCAGCACTCCGAGCACAGAGTAAACACTTGATGTGAGCCTTGCCAGCCTGAGACAAGCCCTCTTTGTTCCAAAAGCTGACTGGATTTCCCTGAGGAATGCATTGCTGGGGAAGACAAGAGGGCTGCTCCCTGCCAGCACCCCAAGGATTCACATGAGGTTCTGCCCAAAGGCAGCGGTGTCACAGCTGGGCTGACAGAAATCAAGTTGGAAATTAACTGTTTGAAACACAGGCTAGAATTTTAACAGCCTTGAGAGGTTCCTGGCATTGCATTTTGAGAAAAAAATAGCATTTTGTTTACTGCAGATAAGGCAGGCCATTGCCCTGTAAATGTTTTCTCCCTGGCCCCTCTTGGGCCAGCGGCTGCCGTGGGATATCCAAGGGGGGGTTAACCACTGCTCCCACAAAAGAGAAGGGCTTCCAACAATTATTAAGGTACTCAAACAATGAAGCTGTTAGAAAGGAACTCTTGCAAAAAAATTTAGAAGTTGAAAGTAACTCCACTCAATGAAATATTAGCTATTGCTGCTCTTTCAGTTCCTTGCCTTCCAGCAATATTTCCTCTGTAGTATCAAACCCTATCAGATAAAATCCTTTAGTTTTACTTTGGTTTGCCTTGGATTTTTATTTTAGTGACCACATTGTTTCATTTATACTACCTTTTTACTACTAACACTTTAAAAATTCGTATTTTCCCCTAAAAACAAATGCACTTCAACACTGGTCTGACTTCTGTTGTAGACCTGTGTAATAGTCCTGGAACAAGGTTAATCTGCTTCTTATTGTTTCAGCACCATGTGCAATACCCCATTTCCTTGCTTAGATGTAGCTGTCACTGCAGTGACTCAAATTCCACGTAGAAGTGACTGATTTTTTCATTCACTGCTGGCACAGGATCTGAAGAAAGAGGTAAACTTATTACATTTGTGTAATTACATTTATTATCATGCTCTGATGTTTCAGAACTGAATTTGTGCAGAGCAAAACGCTGGAGGTAGTCAATGATTTTATAGAAGAACCTGCTTCAAGCAGCATAAACCAATTTGCATAAATCTCTGGTTCTGTCTTTCCATGAAACATCCAGGTTCAGGGAAATTCTCTTTTGTCCTTCAAATAAATCTCAGTGACGGTGGTGAATGGGTGGAACCAGTGCTAAGGGCAGGCTGAAATATTTTGCAAAAGAGCCTGGGGGAATGTGGCAAGCACATTTCTCTCCCTCTCAGGATTTTTCATAGAGAGAGAAGAAAGAGAAAACAATTTCTATTTCTGCTCCTTGTTTTTCCTATGTGGAATGTGTTTGGAGAATTGTTTACCTGGGGTGATTGCTTGGTTGGATTCTGGTGAGGATTGTTTGAGCCTGGTGGCCAATCCAACCCACCTGGGGCTGGATTCTTCAGAGAGGGTCAAGAGTTGTGTTACAGTTAGAGATAGGTTCAAAAAAAGTAGTATGTAGTTTTAATATCCTCCTTTTATATAGTATATTAATATATATTTTAACATAGTTATAATAAATACATAATTCAGCCTTCTGAATTGAGTCAGACATCATCATTTCTTCCCATTGGGTTTGCCTGTATTTACAATAGGGGAACATTTGTGATGTTTTCTGGGATTAAAGTGATAAAGCAGCTGTCTGCAGCCAGCAGCTTTGTGGACATGCTGCATCACCTTTGGGAGCTGTGACTTTTGCTCACAGCCCAAGAAGAATTGCCATGGATGATGTGCAGAGCAGGGTGAATGAGAAAAACCTGCGGGAGTGTTCTCACAAGGGAGAGAAGTGTGACAGCCACTGTGATGCCAGTGCCATTTCCTTGTGTGCAAGGCAATGCCTTTGCTTGCTCAAGAGGAGCCATGGTGAATTTTTAATTTTGTCAAATTCAAAAGTGCTCCCTTGGAATATAAAACACATTTCTCCACAGCATTATGCCTCTCTTAATACCCACAGTGTTAACAAATCTCTGTCCTGTGCAGCGTTTCCCTCTTCTTTTCTTTATTTTTAATCCATATTTGACATGGCA